GCTTAGGCTACTTATTACTATTGGAGCTCTTCTCGACTTGAAGGTACCAAATGGATGTCAAGTCAGCATTCCGAATGGCTATTTGGAAGAGAGATCTACATGGATCAGCCGGAAGGTTTCAAAATCCCGGGCAAGTGTGTAAACTTCTTAAGAGCTTATACTGGCTGAAGCAAACGCCCCCTGTCTGGTAGCAAACCCCGACCGCCTTCCTTAAGAGTCTTGGGTTCCCGAAACTTATTAAAGATCGATGTGTCGTTCGACGCACAATCGGTGACATCACCTGCTACATTGCAGTGTACGTCGATGACTTACTGATCATTGCGCCAACACCACCACTCGTCAATGAGCTGAATTCAGCCCTGAAAAAGCGATTTTCCATGTCAGATTTAGAGAAGGTGAAATACTTACTCGGCTGGTCCATTCGGTGTGATCGTAAGAATCAAACGATATTTATCCACCTGCACAAGTACGCTACGAAGGTCGTTGACCGCTTTGGCGACTACATTCCGTACCCTACAGCAACACCAGCAGAACGGAACGCCAAGCTCTCCGTAAGCGGCCAGCCTAGCAGTGAGCAAGGGAAAGATGCGATGAAATCGATTCCGCATCGCCAAGCCGTAGTCAGTAAGATGTATGTAATGGCCGGCACTCGACCCGACATGGCATTTTACATGCGAGAGGTCAGCCAATTCCTAGCGAATCCAGGTATGGATCACTGGAAAGCAGTCATCCGTGGTCTAAAATAATAATGCGGAACGAAAGAATACGGTATTCTTCTGGAAGGCTCGACCGATATTACCTCGGCAAACCTAGCCGATCCACCGATTGCCTACAGTGACGCTGACTACGCCAACTGCCCCGACACGAGACGCTCAGTTGGAGGATACGTGACAATGCTAACAGGCACGCCTATCTAATGGCTTTCGCGAAAGCATCATACTGTAGTACTCTCTACAGCAGAGGCAGAATATATCGCCGTATGTCACTGCATACAAGAGATGCTATTCCTCAAACTTCTCCTTAAAGAACTTGGCTTTGCTACAACGCAGGCTAACATAATATACGAGTTTAATCAGAGCTGCATTAAAACCTGCTACAACCCTGGACTTCACGGACGATCAAAACATTTATACGATGGATACTGTTTCGTGCAAGAAAAAGTAGAGCGGCATGAATTTAACGACATCTACTGCAATACGAAAGAAATGATAGCTGACATCTTTACTAAAGCTTTAGACAAGCACCAGCTCAGTGCACTAAGGGTTAAGCTCAGGGTGAAGTCCCTTGAAGCTTTACAATAAGCGATTCCGTATAGTGTACAAGAATAACACTAATGCATAAAACATGCCTACTTAAATTGCGTTCCTTTAGATGCATGTTTTGGATGAGCATTGTAGCAACTGTTAGCGCATCTTATGCGGTCTCGTTAGCGCGCATACAACGCAGGGGGCTAGCTGGCCCTTGACGATGACGAACAATTTCATGTCCTCCAGTAGCAGCTGGGAGTCTTCGCGGGCCATGTCGCTGCAAACAGCTGTCCAGACGAGAGCTGGGGGCATCGTTCGCGTGAGTTAAGAAATCGAGAAGCTTGATATTGCTCCCGTATCTTTAAAATGAAGCGATCTTTGTTTGGGAGATTTATGGTCTGAAGCGTGGATAGGGCTGAAAATCTAAACTTTCTTAAACGTGATTCGTTCAGATTGAGTGGTGTGGATTCACAGTTCTTCTGCAAAATGTGGTGTGCCGCACGTACGTTTGGTGTGCTATTGCTTTGTTGTGGTGTGCTACACACATACTTTGTGGTGAAACACAATCTGTGTTTTATCATTCAAAAGTTACCGGTACATGTATGTATGTATGAGAACTGGTATTGTAGGCGACATTGAACATTGGGCTAGAATCTAGAGAGGCATAAGAGGTCTACATTTACGAAAACCTATGTCAACATTTAGATATAGGGTGCAATAATGCGTTTAAATTTCGATTTTGTGGTAATTTTTAGCCAATTCCCAGCCGTTTTGGAGCTACAGTCGTTTAAAAATGCCTTCTCAGAACACTGTCATTTTCGGGGGAAAGGCGCGCCAAATACACAGATATGATTGGTCTAGAATCAAAATCATAAGTCAAAAAGGAAGATGACACATCGCCCGGTCGCAGATTGCCCTTGTCGATTTAACATTCAATTCTGCCAGCAGGATGGTGAAAAAAATTATAAAGGTATTATACATGGATTTTGTTTTGTTTTTATCATCTACTGTTCTAATTCCTTCTGAAGAGCGACGAACTGGTCCTCGATCTTCTGCACGTGTCGAAATCGAGCGAGCCAGTCAGCTGGTGTAATTTTGGCTAGACCACACAGTACCTTCTGCACTGCGTCGGCTCCACTTTTCGGTGGATCTGCCGCAATCCTATTCTTCAACAAGCCCCAAATAAGTTCGATCGGCTGCAAAGTTGGATGATAAGGCGGCGTGTAGTACAGTCGAGGTTGTAGCGTGTTGCAATGGTGTTAGCCGCGTAAACGGCCTTCGGTTTGTTGAGTTTGGCCAAACTGAGCAGTACATCTCTGTTGGCAGCTCGGTTGTAAACCAACATGTCTGAGAAAAAATAAATAATTAGCGATTTTCATTACTTAAATAATAAAACTTACCGATTGTATTAAGGTGAGCTTCGAGCCAACTTCGCAGTAACTTCGTTGTTGGCATTAAGTAGGTCATCCGCTTGTGATACCCGGCGCCATCCATGTGGATGTTACAGCCACCATAATTGTCCTTTAACGTTTTGCACAACTTCTCGAACCACGCTTCAAACAGTTGAAGTTGCCATGATAGTCCTCGGTTTCATCTTGCTTTCGTTTTTTTGACGCGTTCCAGCATTGTATAGACCCCTCTACAAACTTGGCGTAGGTTGTACGCCCCCTACTTGCTACAATACCTGCCGCAACAATACATGCACTACCAAAACAGTCAGTAACATTACAAAAAGTAAAAAAAAAACATAACACCGGTCGCCTTTTCCACTTTTGTTGTAGCGAATATTATCTGACGAGAGCCACGTCCGGCCGCGAACATGATTTGCATTGCAGAATGATTCGTCCAAAGAAACTTCTGGTCGATCAACTGCGTCACCGACTCGATTCGCAATTTTTTTCCTTAGATACTCGTTACGAAAGGCAGCATTTGCTTCGGAATCTGCGTACATGTTCCTGTTTTCACCTTTCACGTAGCGAAAACCTAGCTCACATAAAACTCGTTGCATTGTACGATCAGCAAGATGGGTCCCTGTCACTTGTTGCAGATGGAGGCTAATGCGAGTAGCTGTAGCTGGTCTAACAGCTTTATTTCTCGTCG